GCTCACTGACACAGCACACACTGTAATACAGAGACAAGCACTGCTCTTTCTACACCTATTTCAGTGTTTTACTTACACACAGAAAGATCCAGAGGGGCAAGAGGAGGATTGCAATCCCACAGGGGATGATGATAGCCAGGGCCCAGCCTGGGAAACCCCATGTACTGGCAGTGGTGGATGTAAATGAGGTCAGGAGGACAGTAGGAACAGGAGCTGCTGCTGTTGTTGTGGGTAGATTACCTGCAGATGTACATGAAAGAAACAGTTCATTGAGTAACTGTGTTGCTATACACAATGATTGTGTTTTAATGATTGTCATAAAAGTGATCGTTTTTCCTAAATACAATTGCATCAATCAGGCAGTGATATGTAGGGAACATACCACTAATCTTCAGCATGGTAGTCAGGAAGTCACTGGGGTTTGTGATTTCATTGTTTGGGAGCGTATACACCACTGCAGCCTGGATCTGTTCATCAGTATTCCTGATGAAGCAGAAGCAATCAAATGAAAATGAAAACCATCAAATCAAATGAAACAAAAAACAATCAGATGAAACAATCAAATTATTGTCCATGCAATCTGAGTATTGGCACAATCCTTCTGGTATTACTTTGCACATGCTTTTGCTTGTTGTTCTTTAGCATTCACTGAAACATTGGAGTTCATTGAGAGAGAAACAGACTGATGTTCTAATGCCTTACGTGAATGTAATGGGGGGAAATGTGAGAGGCATGTTGCTGGACTTTAAGAGAAGCCTTTGAAGCTGAAAAGAGAGAAAGAGAATATCACAATTATCTATAACATTGCAGCAAGGCAGAGAAATCATTTTCATACCAGTGTACAAGATATTTTTTGATGACCAGAATCTGCTGAAGACACTGATTGGTCAGAACAGTACTTGATAGTAACTATTCAGGCCGATACCCTGACTTCTCTCAAGGGATAGTTGGGTCAGATCCATGGATTAATCAGCTGCCTGTTTTCTTATGTTTCTAGTTATCAGTCTGAGGATCTGTCTTGCTATGCAGGAGATGAGTTTGTGTTTGTGTGTCCAAAAGATCGAACAGATGACTCTGTTACTAGATGAAGAGCTGTGTGCAGAAGTCATTAAATTAGAGTTTCCAGTCTTGGTTGAGATACTACCTTAGGATATCTCACTTAGATTGCTCTAAAAAATGACCTACTGTGTAAGTAAATTTCAATTTCATAACTGCATTTGTGAATCTCTACTTAATTGATTTAATGGGAAATATTTGATACTCTCCAATTGCTTGAAAGATCCAATATTCAATTATCTCCCCTCATCACAAAATTATAGTTATATCACAAAATAAAGATTCTGATTTTTGCAAGATACCTGTACTCACCAAATTGTTGATGGTATCTTGGAGTTCGCTAGATGTTTCATTTGACAGTCCAGAGCCCACTGGAACACTGAGATTTCTCACCTGGCAGCTCAGTATTAAGACAAAAGCATTTGCAGATATGTCTGCAAGAAGAGAAAACAAATATATAAAAAAATAACTTATACTTCAACATAAATTGGACAAAGCAGTTGTTACTGCTGTTACGTATTGCTCCTTGAGTGCCTGACAACAATATTCACCCCATTGCAATGATATGCATTTATCAATACATTTTCTAACATCTTTATCCAAAGTTCAGTGCCACTGGGGAGCCAGAGCCTGACCCAGAAAGCAACAGGTACAAGACAGGCTTCACCTCGAACAGACACCAGTCAATCACAGACACGCTCACACTCACACTACGGGTCATTTTCCCAGATGCCAATTAACCTACCAGTATGTCTTTGGACTGTGGGAGGAAATTCATACAAAAAAGGGGAGAACATACTCCAAGCAGATTCCCACAAACTGAACCCATGCCCCAGAACTGCAAGGCAGCAATATAAACCATTGCGCAGCTCTCAGTGATATACATTTTGTTACATGACAACATTTTTAAAGTGTACATTTCTAATCCATCCTTGAAAACTCTTATTCTCTTATTTAACTTAAAATGTGTTATTTTATGTTAAATGTTAGCAAGTGCTGCAAATAAACTGGGTGAAAGTCATATTCTAATGTTGACTTCAGTTCTCCAATATATATAAATACCAGCTGCCTGCCTACAACTCTCTAAACATTTTTTCCAGTTCCCATCCCTCCATCCCAATTTCACTTCTTGCAGCTGCCTTCCAGGTTCATTCCTTGTACGTGAGGGGGGTTGTGACTTCTGCCAGAGTTGTCATTTCCTCAGCCACATGAGTTTACACCAAAATATTAAGTACACTAGCCCTTTAAATTTCTCAGCTCTTTTCTCTATAAATAGAATTTGACCATTGTTCTGCCAACTAAATCAGTTCAAGTGCAAAAAGTCACGTAATGAGTTGAGTTGCCTCTGTGTGCAGTGGTAGTGGTTATATATTATTTCAGAATACATGGATCTAACTCCGCATGCTCCCTGTCAGGGCAGTTATTTTCGAGCAAACATTAAATCATGCAACTAAACCAAACAACTCAGGGATAAAGCTGAAGAATGGCATATACCAAGAGAATGGTATACAAAAAGACAAAGGCACTGAATATACTTCAAGCAATTCATAAAGAAATGGGTTATATCATTCACTGCCTAGATAAGGCCATCCCCCAGAACAAGCAGCTAGGCAAATATGAAACTAGTTAACAATATCCCAGTCAGTAGGATATCCAGCAGCCATATAACTTTGCAACTGGCATAACTGGCACCCTCCTAAAACTAAGCAGGCATGAGCCTGGTCAGCACCTGAATGAGAGACCTCCTGGGGAAAAATGTAGGTTTCTGTTGGAAGAGGTGTTAGTGGGACCAGCAGGGGGTTCTCACCCTGCAGTCTGATCTGGTCCTAACACCCCATTATGTTGAGCAGCACTGTTACGTCCCAGTGTGTGTTTTTTCTGTTATGTCCACACTGCTGACCCTTGATTGTTCTCCCTTCCCCATTGGCCAACCATCACACCACTGTTTCAATATGATGTCATCATCAATCAGCCCTCAGCCAATTAGAACTCATTTTATTCACTATTTAACATGGAGGCTTTCAGAAAGAAAAGGCCTTTCGTTTGACTTCGGTCCCGTTTGGTTTTGGTTATCGCTTCGCTTCGCTTCTGGTTATTGCTTCGGCTTCGTTTGTTGGGTTGTTTTGCTTTGTGTGTGTATTTTTGTATTGCTTCGGCTTTGTTGTTTTGTTGGTTTTACGTTAGTTTCTTTGTACTTTCATTTGTTTGTGTGTTCATCCTTGTTTTGTCATTACCTTGCCCCAGTGTTACATGTTCAACTTTTGTGTTCTTTTGTACCCTGCTCCTGTTTATTACTCTTGTTTTCCCTTATTTGTCTTCCTGGTTCACTTGTGTTTTTGTGTGAACTTTTGTATATAAGGTTAGTTTAGGTTGTTGGGTACACTTACACACTTAGTTGATTTTGTATTAGTACACTAGTTTAGTACGGGTGAGTGCCATTTGTCTTGTATGGTTTTGGGTAGTCAGTGCAGATTAGCTAGGGTGTTGAAGACACCGAAGACCATGTGTTTCGGGTTTTCTTTTTTAGTCAGATTAGCTTTCCATCACTGTCCTAGCCAGCTCCATTTTGTTTGTTATTTTCTTTTCTTTGGCACCACTCTAGTTCCTTACCCTTGTCACGCTTCCTAGTCCCTCACCAAAACCCCCCTGCTTCCAAAAGAATTATCCTAAATGTTACACCCCTTTTCCCCTAGACACTTGGGGTCGTAACAAGCACACTATAGTATCCCAGAGTATTGCAAGTACGTGGATGCTGCACATTGGTGGTGGTGGAGGGGAGTCCCTATTACCTGTAAAGCGCTTTGAGTGGAGTGTCCAGAAAAGCGCTATATAAGTGTAAGCAATAATAATAATAATAATAATAATATAATTTGACAACAGTTTAACTGTCCTGGACTGTGTCAGGGTGTGATCATACACCGCTGAATCCTTTTCATCTGAGATGTTCATTGAACTAATAAGTGACTTATTAAAGTTCAAGTACGCTGTAGCTGCGTCAGCATGTGTAGGTTGCAAAGGAACATGTAACACAGGACATCACTGGATGGAATTCAATATTTCTGCACAGTATGAGCTCATATAAAACATCATAGTCATGAAAAGTTAACTTACTTTCAAAGGTGATATTTGATATATCCAATGTGTAAAATGCACGTGACGTCAAAGAAGGGAAAAAGGGTTTTGCCATGTTAAGAATATAACTGGCATTAACAGTATAGGCTGTGGTGTTGAATACAAGTCTGAAGACAACAGTGACCAATTTGGTTCTGTGAGAAAAAAAAGGAAATAAACATCAGTTTAAAAATCTGATTAAAAGAGGCTGAAGTAGTGTTTCTCTCTAAAACGCAATTCATTCACTGTTGGCACATTAGTAAAAAAACACTAACTGAAGTCCTTCAACAAAACTAACAAGAGCTAAATATTGATGAACGAAAATGAAATCCATTTGCCTCTTTCTTCAAATTAAGATGGAGAACATGTACAGCAAATATACAAAATGTTTGATGTCATTGACTTCTAAAATCTGCCCAGATCATGATACCGGGAAAGGTGAAAGAACTAATGATGGAGAAACAGAGACACTAGGATTAGAATCAGAATTACAATGAAATGCAAAGGTAGGCTACCCTCCTGGGAAGGAGTAGAAAACCAGAAAACATGATAAAACTACCTCAAAACTACCTCAAAAAAGGAGAAAATTAAGGGAGGAAATTAAGATTTTGTTAGACATTAAGTGAAGCTAAGACGCCGAACCTTAAGGCAGCAGTACTAGCGTATTTAGCAGAACTCTGCTATTCTGAAATCTATTGTGTGACAATTTACTTTTATATTTGGAAACGCTGCCTGACTGACTCTGTAAGAGAATTAGAAGTGTAAGACCGGACTTACATGGGAGAGAGAACTGCAGTTGTATTAGTCACAGGAGCTGCAGTTGTTGTCTTTCCTTGACCTAAAATATAATAAACAAAAAGAAATACCAATAAGTATTTCTGTATTAGCAGCAATTTCATCATTCTCAAAAGAGCAGTAGACAAAGAGGAATCATTAAAGCACTAAAATGTCATCTTTTACACTCAAGAAAAATAAGAGGTTAATGGAATGATCGATGACGTGTTATCCTAATTTCCAAAAATTGGCCCTGTAGGAGCCTTTGTCCTCACCGTTGATGGTCAGAGTGGCTGTGATGCTGTTGACATGTCCAGTCATGTTCAGAAGCTCAGTCAGGACACCACTGGGGCTCTGGAC